CTTATTCAACCGTTCTTTACTAAGGAGCAGCACTATGCCAAGCCATGATCATAGCATTTATTTTCTGGAATAAAAAGGACAAAGGAGGTGTGTGGATGTTACACTACAGATGAGGGGAAAAAGCAAAACGTCAGGACACAAGGAACATGCCAGTTAGTAACAAGGTACAATATCGAGTGTGGGAGATCAACACTTTCAAGTTGTGTGGGCAGAGGTCTCTCCAAGTGGGTAACACGTCACTGAAGTGAGTAGGTTTGGTAGCCAGAGGAAGACAAGGGAGGATCTGGGAAGAATGCCCCAGAGGGAACAGAAGGGGGGCCCACAGGGCTGGAAAGGCGTTGGTGAGGAGAGAGGGTATGAGATGAAACTGGAGATGTGGGCAGAGGTCAAGGTCTTAGTGTAAGTAGGAAAGAGATGGGATTTTTATCCTGGTTGTCATAGAGTTTTAGGAAGGTACATGATGAGATCAGCTTTACATTTTTAAAAGATCCCATGGATTGCTGTGCACAGGAGGGGTTCCTATGTGGAGTGGAAGCCCAGAGTCAAGCTCAGAAGCTATCACAGCAGACACAGGGAAAGCTAACACTGGCTTGGATAAGGTCAATAGGAATGAAGATGGAGAGAAGTTGTCAGGTTCAGGACACAGCCTAGAAGTGCCCTCAACAGGTTCTGCTTATGCATCAGATATGAAAGGTGCTGAGGGGTAAAAAGAAATCATGCTTTTCTGGAGAAACTGAGTGGATGATGGCACATTAGCTGGGAGGAGCACATTTGTTGAGAGGATGCAGAAAGACATGAATTGTCTTTGGCCAAATTGTGTTTGAGAAATGTATTAATACATCCAAAAGGAGATTAGATAGTTGGATATGTCAGTCTAGAATTTAAGGTATCAGGCGAGAGATAATTATGTGAGAATCCCCAGCTTACAGGTAATATTTAATTCTGTGGAGTAGATGGAGGTCCTTAATAGCATCCATGGAAAGAAAGATAAGAGCGCTCCATGGCGCACTCTGAAAACTTGTTTTATGAGGAGATGTTTATGAGACAGAACCCAAAACAGGAATGAGTGGTATCATGGAAGCCAAGAGAAGAAAGTATTTCATAAAGAAGGAAGTGGTCATCTGAAAGATCAAAGATGAAAGTAACTATTCCGACTTGACAAGATGGCAGTCGTTAGTGACCTTGAGAAACACAGACAACGGTGCAATTAAAATGACTTAAATACTAAAGAGGAAGTGTGAAGCAGAGGCAACATCACTGACAACTGTTCAAGTTGTCTTCCGAACTTCGATCCACCCAGCTGAAGGTGGATATGAGACCAGAGGATGTTTCTTAGGAGATACTGGAACATGTATGTGTGCTGGTGGGAATCACCTATTTTAGGAAGAGAGAAATGTATGCAAGATTAGATGTGGATAATGGCAGTTACAAACTTACTGGGACCCCAAAAGTGTTGGGACCCAGGGTCTAAATAGAGAGAGTAGCATTAGATAGCAATAGGAACCCTAATCCACAGTAACAAGAAGGAAATCAGGAAATATAGGTACAGAGAGAGATAAATGGGCAGATGTGATGATAGGCTAAGCAGAGTTCCCTTCTGATTGCTTCTGTTAATGAACGATGAGCAAAGGCCATCTGTTGAGGGGCAGGAAAGAACCCTGAAGACAGAGCAAAAGGTGTGAAGTAGACATTTTGGACAATGAGGAATTGGGCATGATAGGGAGGTGTAATGAGATCAGGGGACAATGTTGATTATTCATTTGAAATTTGTTGAGTGATCAACTGAAATCATTTAAAGTATGACCAATCACATTACTGTTGTTGTTTTTTTTTTCTCCCCAGCAATTTGTAGCTGTTTGAGTTCAGCACGGAGAAGTTAATACGTCAGACCTCCAGTGGAGATTTGAAGGTGAGAGCAACATAGGAAAATAAGAGTTTCTAATGGAGCAGTTTCAGAATGATGGATCTTGAATCAAAGTCAATAAGAAAGAAAATCGTGGCACCAATCTTCTCCCTGATTATGAAAATTTGTTGGAATCATAGAAGAAGTGAGGGGGGAAGTTGCTTGGGGAGAAGGAATAGAGTAAGTAAACTAAGGCTAGTTAGAAGTTTATGTGTGAAGTAGAGATTATTAAACTGTACTTTTACTTATGGTGATTGTGTGGAGGGTACAGCCATGAAGGTGGATTGTTGAGTGAATGGAGGAAAAGCAATGGAGGTGAAAGGTTGAGAGACTGAGAGATCAATATGAGGGATAGATATTACATATGGATGTTGAAATCATCAAGAACGGTAAGGCGTGGAAACAAACAAAGGCAGTCCAGTGCTGCGTTTCTCAGCAAAAAGGGATACAGTGATATCAGTTGAAGACAAAAATGAAGAGAGATTGCAGGTGGGACTTTCTCATGGTCAGGCACAAGGAACTGAAGAGCGAGAAGACAGGGAGGGAGAAATTACTTGAAAGTAGCAATAAAGAAAAAGCAATATACTCCCAATGCCAGGTCCTAAAATTTTTAGGCTATGGATGAATAAAAATTCTATTTTCCAGATGGAATCCAGAGGAGCAGTCATGAAGAAGATGAAGAAGAGGAGATTCAGGAGGAATAGGGGAGAGGTCTTGGTGATAGATGCAAATCATGTAAAAGAAAGAGTTAATCCATCCAACAAATTCTCATTGGTCTGAGCAGAGTTCTGGTGCCATGTGTGGCCACGACAATGTACAAGATGGTCACGGTCTCTGCGCTGGTAGGACCTGCACTCTGGCAAGGGAAGAAAATAATCTAAATAAATAATAAGGTAAGCTGGGGCTAGGGCTCCGTGGAAGCACACTTGCCTGGCATGTGAGAAGCACTGGGTTGGATTCTCAGCACCACTCATAAATAAATAAAATAAAGGTCCATCGACAACTAAAAAAATATTAAAAAATAATTTTAAAAAGTAGTAAGGTTGGGCTAGGGATGTGGCTCAAGCGGTAGCTCGCTCACCTGGAATGCGCGGGGTGCTGGGTTTGATCCTCAGCACCACATAAAACAATAAAATAAAAATATTGTGTCCACTGAAAAATAAAAAATAAATATTAAAATGTTCTCTCTCCTCTCTCTCTCTCTCTCTCTCTTTAAAAAAAAATAGTAAGGTAAATCAGATACGACTTAGAGCAAAGAACAGAATTTAAGTGGGGGATTGTGATCTGAACAAAGGGCTACTTCAGATCAGGTTCTGAAGACAGAATCTGCCCAGGAGAAGAGCTGGGACAGACAGGGGTTGAAATGCTGTAGAGAGCAGTGGCCGGCTCAGTCCAGGGGACACTGGGTCACCGGGGGCTGCCACTCAGGTGAGCCTAAGTCTGAGATGTGCTCTGGAGGACTGCGGCTCCAGGGCCAGAGCAGCAGTATTTGTTTCCTAGAGCCTCCATGACAAAAGTCCTACAAGCCGGGTAGCTGAGATAGCAGGAATGCCTTCTCCTGCTGCTGTGGAGGCCGGAAGTCTGAAAGGAGATGTCAGCAGGATTTGTTCCATCTGGAGTTTCTGACTCTCTTCAGGCCACTGGTGGCTGCTGCAGCCCTTGTCAGTCCTTGGCTTATAGCTGCGTCTCTGAATGTCCTGTCCCCCATGTCCTTCTTTCCTCTGTGTGTGTCTGGGTCTCTGTGTTCCTAAGACCCTGTCTCCCTCTCCTTTTAATGACACTAATCATAGGATTGAGGACCGACCTCAGCCTAGTCTGACCTCATCATATCTAGATGCATCTTCCCAAACCCTATTTCAAAATAAGATCACACTCATGGGTTCTAAGTGGACAAGGACTTTAGTGGGACACTGTTCAAGTCCCAGGGCTGCTCTCTCTTGAGCAGTTGAAAGCCCTAAGCAGGGGCTCAGACAGGAGCGTTGCCCGAGGCTCAGGAGGCCAAGAACTGCCACATATCATCCAAAGCACAGCAGTGCAGCCTGGTGTTCAGGAGGGGGCCTCTGCATGGTGCCTCTAACTCTCAGTCCTGGGGAGTGGGCCTGGGAATTGAGTGACAGTCACAGGCAAGGACAACGCAAATGGAACACACATAGATGAGGATGACATCTCAACTATGGAGACTGGGGACAAGTTCTAGGAAAGGAAGCATCTCCCTAAAATCCCTCTGTTGAAGCCCTAGTCCCCCAAAAGACTGTTTTTGGATATGAGGCTTCTTGGGGGGTTATTTTTGTTCCCTTGGGTTCTTAGGGTTGGGGTTTTACCCCCAAGGTTGTTTTTTTCTTAAGGGGTTCCCGGGGTTTTGGTTCCCCCGGCGGCCCGGGGGGAAGGGCCGGTTGAGGCCCGGTTGGGAGGGGGCTTTTGCGTTCCAGGGCCGGCCTTTTCCCCGGGGCCCGGGCCTTCTTGGCCCTTTATTTTCCGGCCCCTTGGGAAATTGACTTTTTTTTTTTTGGGCCCGGCGTTCGTTGTTTTTTTTCTGTGGCAGCCCAAGCCGACTAAGACAGCAAGTCTTCACTTTGGGTTTAATTAACAGAAGTCAAAGGCCCCATAAAGACAAAGGGGTGAAGGAGCTGAGAGAAGGGTCAGGGAACTGTTTTACCTCAAAGAAACATCTCTGCAGTCTTCACGGCAGAGTTTCCGATTCAACTATAAAGGGTTTTTATTAAACTAATATTTACTGTGCACTCACCATGTGCAAGCCACTTGGGGACATTACAAAGTTCCAGACACCCGACAAGATGAAGAAGAAATTCATGAACTTTGGTTCCATGCCAAAGAGAGCGTGACTTTGTGGAGTCACGGTGTACTTCATTGTCATGATGCATTAAATGGAAATAACATTCACCTCTGTTGCCATGATTTCAGAGAGATGAAAAAGAAGCCTGTTCCGAGAATGGAACCCAATACTATTTCTTAAAGTGGAAAAAGACGTCATTTGCTTTGTAAACTCGTACCAATATTCTGGCTCTCCAGATTTTGGTCTCCATTTCATCCCTAGCAACAAGAACTCAAGTTATTCCATCCTTTTCCCTATGTCCTCTAGTTCCTACCTCATGTTTTATTCCTGCTATTGCAAACCCTTTCCATTTGATTGCCACATGGGGAATTATTTTGACCCTGATAACAAGTTTAGGAGCTTCCTGCAAACAGATTTCACAGTTTATATTCACTTTAAGTTATTCCTGCATGATCTCTCTGAAAGAAGATAAAAATAGAAACCCAGGGGTCACTTTGAAGGTCTGGTTGAGTTGAACGTCTTTATTAAGAATCTGGAAGAGTGCAGTAATGAAATGTGATTCTACGTTGGGAGTTGCTACAATGACAAAAGAATAAATTGAGAAGAAAACCACAGAGTGACTGAAATTCAGCCTGGCAAGTTATGATCTAATATGTCTGCAAACAAGAAAAGGATTCCAAACCTGAGCTGTCCATGGATGAGTGAAGTCAGTCCAATAGTAAGGTCCTAAAAGGCCCACTGGGGATGATGGCAAAGCGAACCGGGCATGCCAGCAGAACTGGGCCAGAAAATGACAGTAGAGCAAGGACGGAAGTCCTGAAGGGAAGGAAAATGAAAAGACTGGGGAGACCTGGGCACCTAGAATCCTCTACCACACTGGATGTGTTATTACTTATTACCCCTCGACTACAGAGAGGTTAAAAGCACAAATCAAGTAAAGAGTAAAGAAGAGATCGACATGGGCAAAACCAATAAGTGGAGGTTTAAAGCAGACTCCTGTGACCTGGCTGCTTGAGCAATTATTAAAGTTTCAGACAGCAGCATTGCACTGTCAATAAGAACTTCAAATCCAGACCAGCCTGAGTTTCTGCCTCCGTCGCTTGCTAGTTACTTCACCTTGAGCCAGGCACATAACTCTTCAAGTCCTAATTTCTTGGTCTGAAAATCTGAAAAAGTGGGAATGCCTAATTCTTAGGGTTGTTTTAGGACTGAATGAGATAGAACACGGGAAGATATTAGTAGAGCCCCTAATCCATCCTTTCATCACCAGTGTTTACCACAACAAGCAGCAATAAAAGCAGTGGTCCGCAAGAAAACTGGAAGGTTTCTCATATTAATACGCATACATTTTTCTCAAAAATTTTATTTTCCCTTAGTGAAGACTTTGGCAGGAAGGTTTTTCTAGACATGACATTCAACTAAAGTTTCTCCCAAACTATACACCAGCCTCTCTGCTAGCAGAGTGTTAATTGTAAGTAGTTCACTGCCCTCATCACTTTCTCCACCACATAATTCTACCATCTGTCCTCCCATCTCTTCTTAATCAGAATAGCCCTAATAGGCAGTCCTGGATCTAGTGCTTTTTTTCCAAACCCAGAGAATATGGAATGAGAGCCAGATGGTAAATTTGAGCATATCTAGGACAATCACTTTATTTAGCTACAAAAACAAACAAACAAAATTAAACAGTGGCTTCTCCTTTTTGTATGCTGGTTTCCCTGGCCAGAGGTCTCCTTGAACTTTTTTAGATGACAAAAAAGTTCCACTTCTCATCCAGCACAGATATTCTCTAGCCATGGCATTTCAAAGTTGGAGTGTATTCCGATTGTGCCATTAAAAAAAAAAAATCTGTTTTGTGTAATTGTTTTCCACAGCCCACGCCAGGTCTTTTCATGATATTAGGGTGAAGCTAAATGGGGATAGTCTTCCTCAGAAGGTGAGAATTTCCAGTAAATTTCATTTGAACTAAAGGAAACACAGGGATGGACAAACTGGGAACTCAGAAGAACGACGTCCTCAATCAACAGGTTAAGTAGTTTTGTCGTCCTCGAAGTCTTGTTCTCTAATTTACCAATCTCCCAGAGACAAAAGAATAAATGACATGTGGCCCAGGAAGTTCCTTTTCTGAGGGCAAAGCCTGCCTTGCCCATTGATTGGGGGTCTGCTGTGTTAATAAGACCCAACACATTCTTTTTTCTTTTGAAAATCTATGTTCCAATAGCTTGGCCAATCTGATAACAGCAAGAGAAGAACAAGAACGATTCTGCTCCTGAAGGCTTTTTCTAAGAAAAAAAATGAAAAACATAACACCGCTAGACGTTGTTTGGACATATCAATTTCTTTTTCCAAATTGAATATTTTTTGAAGAGACAATAAAAACTACCAAGTTGATTCTGGCAGAGTCATTACTTAGAGATAATAGATCAATCATCTCAAACCTTTCTATATCATCTTGATCTCAAAGCCATTGAAATAATTTTACTATGCTTTAGGCTATTTCCATTAAGGCATCAAACTACATATTATAAATGATGTGGAAAAGGGTTTTTAAAATAAAAAACAAAACAAAACATGGTTAGCTCAACAAACATCTCACTTCTTCCCTTAACACTGTGATTCAGTATCGCAGAGACCATAATATTTTAAACATTTATAGTACTTTTTTTTTTTTAATCAGACATTCATTTTTGCTTGAAAGAAGCATCTTCCTCAAGAGAGGGAAGACCTTTCCTCTATTTGTCTCTGTAGATAAGCATCAAAACAAGGCAATAAATTAAACAAAAAACAAACCAATGTTTTAATTGGAAATTCCATTACATTGAAGACCCTCCATTATTAGGGGAAATATTTTTCCCTGCATAAAAGGTGTTATTCTATTTCAGACATGTCTAAATTAACCATCCGGTTCTTGGTCTACAACAGATCGGTAACTAATTTATTTTAGTTCCGTTTGAGATTAATGTTTTCCTAGCTTATTGAAGTGACTGAATGCTGGCTTACTTTCTATGTGCCTGCTATGTATAAGAATCAAGGGGCTGGGATTGTGGCTCAGCGGTAGAGTGCTCACCTAGCACATGGGAGGCCCTGGGTTCAATTCTCAGCGCCACATAAA